AATCCAGTCCTCCCTGCAAAATGACAGCCTGAAGAGAGGGCAGGGAGCTGGACTGGAGTCTCCCTGGCTTCTGCTTTCATTCAGGATCCATCCTTGCCTCCAGCACCTACTGCACTGCAGAAGGGTCCCAGCTAGAGGAGGAGCTGCTGGCTGATGCCCATGTCTGTCCACGTTGCTATTTCCTTGCATCCTGTAAGCTCTGTGCAATAACATGTTGCAAACATGCTGTCAACATCTTCCTTCCCTGGATGAAAGTATTGGCTTGTATTCCCTTTCTCTGTACTCAGGAATCACAGTGTTCCTAAGCACAGCATGAATGTTCACTTTCACCTTTTCATGGGTGAGTTGTAAAGGTGGAGCTCAAAGGAAGAATTCTGTTTATAAGATTCCAGAGGAGTTTAAAATTACCTCCCCCTCATGAACATGGGTCATGCAAATTCCAAGCTCATCTAAAAAAACTCTGCTCGTGGGCAGCTGTCTCCATTGAAGCAGCTGGCAAAGGGCATCCCTAAACTGAGCCTTTTCCTAGTGCCAGCCAGGTATGACCTGTATAGACAGTCTGGCTGTAAGAGAGAACGGCAGTCATTGCTTTATGGAAAAAGTTGCTACTTCTTAACTGCAGAAGGAAGCAAAATGTTCTGACCTTGATTCAGGACTGCCCTCATGATGGGACACCTAATTTAATTGCATTTTTATTTGCAAATACATCTGCTGGCCTCTGGACAGAGAGGCCAAACTTCTCCAAAATTACGAACTATCTTTGTTCCTAACCAGGTGCTCTGGGGCCAAACCAATGGACACAGTGTTAATGAAAAGGTAGGCTTTATTCTTTCCTATAATCTTAAAAACTGCTTGTTGCATTTCGGAAGTTGAAGAATACAAAAGGAGTCACAGTTTCCCCTACTGTGACTTACAAAAGCTATTTCTCCACAGGATACTATTTTTAACATCATAGGAATAGCAAAAGCTAAACCTATAAATAAAGAAAAATCACCAATTATGCCCATAAAGTCAAACTAAAGCTTATTCAGGCCAGGTCATACACTGCAACAGCAGAATTGGCAGCAGGCTGAGATCAGCAAGTTTTGGCAGTTGTATAAAGTTGTGAGCTGGACATTTGCCCAAACATTAACCAGAAACAGATGTATGGAAAACAAACAAATTTCACAGCAATCTATTGGGTCACAGGCTACATCTACAGCAAGAAGAAATATTACTGCAACTTCCCTTTGCTTTGCTAAAAGGTTTCCAGCAGTCTTTGTTTCACTTCCATAGCTGGGGTAAGTCTTTGTCTGTACAACATATTTTTATTTTAAAATCACTTCTACAAGAAGAAAGGGAAAAGCCCCCAGGCTGGCTGTGATCATTACTGCCAATCTCTGCCATCTCTCTCCACTTCGAAAAGAAATGTGTATTTCTATATCCTGTCTTTTCGGAAGGGCCAGAAGGAAAGTCTACTTTCAGCCAGATGTGGAACATTTTTCCCCACAAAGCAGCGTGTATCTCTTCCTGCAGGAGTGATTGTGGTACTGCTGTCCCAGTCAGCCATGCTGGCTTTATTTGAGACTACCTTTTTTTTTTTTTTTTTTTTTTTTTTTTTTCTTTTTTAAATCCCTCTGGTGTTGAATTTGGAGTTATGAAAGCTACAGGAATGGAAGGAACTTCACCAAGGGTATCCAACCTCCGAGAACAGAGACTCAGTCACAGCTCAGAGCGACATCTCCAGTGCAGCATCCCAGCAGGGTGTGGGAGTCTGCTCCTGCAGATGTTGTTCCCAGCCCCAGGCAGCTGCTGTCCTTGCTGAAACCTCACTGAGCGACAGCCCGAGAGGCAGAAGAACTGCACAAAGTCTGTGATTTTAAGAAATTTTAAGTGCTTTTATACTGGCTGACAGCAGTCGCCCTCAGGAGGGAAGGATTTAGTAGAGATTCAGGAAAGAGGGCACAGCAAAATGTCTGAGCTCAGCTGGTAACAGACTGTTCACAGTTTAATTAAAACCAATTACCCCCCTGTCTTTCTTCTGTTTATGGACAAGAGGAGCAGGGCTGTCAATAAATGTATAAATAACCACTGCTTCTGCGTCTTTTATCTGAAACTTTCAGGTGCTGTTCTGAGAACTGCCCAGGCGTGCTGGAGCTCTGGGCAGGCACCTCTGCAAATGCCTGGATGACAGCAGCTCCTCTGCCCTGTCCGGGCTGCTCTGCGGCTCAGCTGTGCGACCAAGGGAGCAGATCCCGAGCCCTGGCGGCGTCCCGGAGCTGCTCCCTCAATCCGCCCTCCCTTCCCCCGACCCTTGCTCCGTTCATGCAGCAGCTGCCGAGGTTAATGATTATGTCTCAACAAGTCCTACCGCAGGTACCTGTTATCTTCCCAGAATAAAAGAATAAATTTCAGCTTTCAGGAAAAAAACCCGAATCTTTTTTCCTTGGCTCAGGAGCTCACAGCTGCGAGCACCAGAGGGCGCTTCGCTTCATCCTTGCCCCAGCCGGAGCTCCGGGAACATCCTTTTCATTCCTCAATGCCTTCACTCCCGCAGCACTAGGCACAAGTTATGTGCAGGCCAGAAGCTGTGCACTCCCAGGCAGTCACTGCTGCCTGTTCATCGCTAGGACTCAGCCGCAGGAGAAGGAAAGCTCATGTCCAGGCGCCATCAATGCCACCGGAAAACTCGGAGCCAGCACTGGGATTCAACACCCGCTGCACCCCCGGTCCCCATCCCAGGCAAATTCTGCTGCGGCACATCTCGGCTCCTGCATGACACACAGCCTCAGCCCCCAAAGCCCCTGGATCTCAGACAAATCCTATGAGGAGTTGCATTTTAAAGCCGATCTCCTGCATTATCATGCAGCTACACGGGCTCCGTTCACCCTGTGCCTAATCCCAACGTCTCCCAGAGGAGCAGGGTCATGGAGAGGGGAGCAGAGGCATTCACAGGGTCCCAGGAGGAGACTTCCAGCCCAGCAGCACAGTCAGAGAACACAGGGCACAACACTGTGATTACTGCGCTGCAGAGAGGGAGAAAGGACAGCAGCACACACGGACTTCTTTTGGGGAAAAAGGGCCAACTTTATTGTACGGACATCCTGTATTTAAAGTGTGTTACGTGTAGCTAGGACAGGACAGTAGTTCATTGGACAATTGGGACAAACATCCCTGGGACAGCATGTCCGGATGTCCCACGGGAAAGACACCAGGTGTTAATCTTTGTTATGAATTCCACTCTGTTTTTCACCAAGTTATCACTCTGGGAGACTGCCTCCCTTATCTGAAGCTGTAGTCAGCTTGTCAGCCTGGGAATGGACCTGAGAGACAGGAGAAATCCAGGCCTGAAAAGAATTTCCAAGCTGTAATTCCCTAGCTCTGTGAATGCGTGTGTCCACACAACACAGTACCCTTGCCAGGGTCACTGATTCTGTACTTCAGTCTCCTGGCAAAGCCAAGCCCACCACTCTCTTCCGAAGGGACTAGTTTTAAAAACTAAACCCCTGTTCTCTTCCCCTCCAAAGGGATCGTGTTGCCAGACAGTAGCCCAGGACACTTGTCCCAGAACACACAGGTCACTGAAGATGTGTTTATCCTGATTACTCAATAGCCTGACAGCCCGAAAGCAGGTGCGTGGCACCTTTGCCATCTCCAACCTTTCCTATTCCTGGCAGCTCTCTCATACAGAGCCCCAAAACCTTTGGACACATTTCCTCTCCCAGAACTTCCCAAAAGAACTTTCAAGCACTCACCCCACTCCCCTAGAGCACAGGACATCCTCTGCACACCCTGCCTGGCTTTTCCCTGCAAGCTCTGTGCCCTGCAGTGACACAACAGCTCAGGGAAGTCTGTTTTAAGAGGGAAAGCTTGGGAAACTCAAGACTTGTGTTGTCTCACAACTGGTTCTCCAGTAATAGATTTTCCAAATATAACTGAGCTTTTTTACACCCTCAAAAACATGCTTCTCCATTTTGGCCAACAGTGCTCAACCCACATTTTCCTCATTAAAATCTTAGTTCAGTGCACATTTATTTGCAGCAGTTCCCACTAAACTAGACTTTGAGGGAATTTTGTTTTCTTATTAGCATCCCAATCATAGCAAGCTTCATTGAATAAATAATGTAATTAAGGAAAAATGGGGACTGTAGAACCTTGAATGAACCTTGTTCATTCTTCAGGCCAATGTCCTCAAAATTTCTTTCTCACACTTTCAGAGAAAGGCCATATGATCAGAGGGAAAGTTACTCTATCCCAACCCAAAGAGCAAGCCTAAGGCTGCCTTCCATCTCCTCTCCCTCATCTGCTCCTTCAACGTCCTGGTTTCTTGTTCCCATTTACCTGCAGTGCCACACATCCACAAGCAGAATCTTCACCTTCAGGAGTTCTTCAGCCCCTGCCATGCCTTAGGCTGGAGGTGGCTTTTCATGGAATACAACACAAGAGCCAGCTTTAGAAACCTCAATCACTTTCTATGAACTCACAACATACTATGAAATAAAATGCTGTTGGTTCAGAGGAAAAGCATCCTCTGGTGTGTACAGCAGTGTGCCAGAGCAGTGTTTCCTGGCCACAAACAGCCGCAACTGCTGCAGCACTGATGCCAGGGATGAGAGATCCTCATGGACGCAGAGACACAACCGATGTGGGTGCATTCACTGGCAGTGAAGAATTGTCCCAGTGGTGGCTCCCTGCCCACCTGCTCCCACTCTGCTGCTGTTGGGGAAGGAACAAGGCAGACTCCCAGTGTGCTCCTGCATCACTCCCAGCAGGAACTGAAGCCCAGCCATGACCACGCTCCAAGCTGTCAGTCAGGAGCTGCTGGGACCCGTCTCCCGCACGGGCAGAACGCGGCTCCAGGGGATGCAGCTTCCCCCGAGCCACCACCAGGGCAGGTCGTGGAATTCGGACCCACCCCACAACGCCCTGCAGCTACCAACAGCAGCAGCAAGCGACTCAGCACTCGTTTTGAAGAGATGGCAGTGGAGGAGAAAGCATGATGAGAAACAAAGACAAGACAATAAAGGTTAAGGTACTTTTATTATAAAAGTCTATACAATGGACACCAGACATAGCAATGCAATTATATCTGGTTTAGTTATATATATTCCATATCTATATATCCATATAGATATATAGGTTTTGCTTTTACCAAAGAAAAACTTATATCACAAAATGCCTAGTTCTACCATTTATTTATTGCTCAACAAGGATGGCACAAAACACACTCAGCATAACTGTTGCCATGCTTATCTACTATACTGAATAAACAGCCAAACACTGCATAACAAACACAAAGCAGCTGTTAATTCTGAATTGGAACCAGTCTGATCACTCACTCACTTATAAAAATATTGGAATCATATAGATTTAAGCATTATAAAGGAGGAATATATTATTTAAAACATTTAAATAGTGCATATTGACATTTTGCATGTGGTATATAAAACACAAACATTCATGTACAACACTATACAGTACACATTAGTTTCAATGTTTGGATACACCCGTGTCTGCAGACTGATAGAAAAGGAACTGAAGTGTACATTGCACAATGGAACTGAATAAAATTGGTAAATGGTCTCAAGACTAGTTTAACCTCATAATTCTCTAAGGTCCCAGATAATTTTGCAGTTAAAAAAAAAAAAAAAAAGGCATACCACCAGTGCTCAATAGTTTTAGTGCTTTTTTTTCTGAATTCCAAAATTACATGCCTACAAGCAGAGTAAAACAAACCAAGGAGTACTCTACAGTACACAAATGAAATGTGAGCACTAAAATCCTACTTGCAACCTATTTCATATGCTTCATGACAGAACAGCAAGTCTCTGAGGTTATGTGCGAGCCATTTCTTACATCATGAGAAAGTTCATTTTTGGTCTTTCATAAAGCAGAGTGAATCATTGCTATGTTGACATTAGCCAGTCATAAAAACATGCAGTGAGAGCAGGTGCATGCAAAACATGGCCACAATCAAACTGATACACTGAAATTAAAAAAAACCAAAAAACTGAGAAAGCACCAGCTGAAATTAACATTTTGATTTTGCCAGATCAGAAACAGCTGCAGATGGCTGCTGCAGAGCAAAGCTAGTCCCTAAATCATCATTCAGCATAGCAGATGTGATACTCAAAACATTATTTAGATTCAACTCTGAAGCTAAATCATGCAAGGCCCATAAACTGTTTTGCTTACATGTAAGGATTAGATAATGTATTTTTATTCTCCAACTGTAAAACAAAACCGTGATAAACAGCAGTAATCTTTCCACTCCAAACCAACGGTTCTCCCTGTGGTGCGTGTTAACTACACTGATTTTAGCCCTTGACACCATACTCATTTCAGGTACAGTGGGATTTTAACTGTCCTAAGCCAGTTCCTTTCTGTGGAACCACACAAGTCTGAGTGCCACCAGATTTCCCAAACACCAAAGTGTTCACTGTGCTCCTCAAATCTTCTGAAAGCGGAGATGCCGTATCCAATTCAGCCCAAACACTACTCACCACTGGTTGGTAACAACTGAAAAAGGAATCAAATGAACAACAATGACTTGAGTCCTGTAGGCAGCATGTGATTGAACTTTCCAGTTTTCCAAGGTTTAAAAGCCACTAAGAAAAGGTCACTTTCTGGTTTGTCCACTGTCATCTTTTCAAGGAGGAAACGTGACCACTAATGAGCAAAATCCATAGACGTTAATTATTACTGTGTATAGGTGCAATTTAGAATACAAAAAAAAAAAAAAATCAAAGTTGTTCCACAGCAGTCCTTTGAAAGGAATTACAGTCTGTTTAAGTGTTCCAGGAATTAAGAGCTGTACCCTTAATTTGCTGATTTTTTTAGGCAAGAGTAGTTCAGTGTAGCATTACTATATTAATCATTTCTTCAACAATGCAAAAGGTTGGTAATAACAAAAGTCTCAAAGTCCTTGAATGCTAAAGAAAAAAAAAAGCTATGGTTGTTTGGAAAGGGATGGATCCAACTGGAATACAAAACTTCGATGGAAACTGTGTTTGCTAAAGTTGGATAGAGCAGTCTCAAACTCAGAAACCTTATTTGCTCTCTAGACAGGACCGACTTACCCTTCAAACATGTCCTAGTGGCACCATAGTAAAGTGCACAAACTGGATTCTTTCAACAGTGCATGACACATGAACACAAGCACCCAATAAGTACAGGGGTAGTACATGGAAACATCATGTTACTCAACAGGTTGGAGGAATATAATTTAAATTGATTTTGAAGAATCTTGCTTGCTGATAAGGACTTCTAACAGCCTCAGTTTGGCTTTGATTTTCTTGTACTCCCTGTACTCATCCAGCATTGGGACCCGATCTTCTTTCTGGACATTTCTGTAAGAAAAAAAAAAAAAAAAAAAAAAAAAAAAAAAAAAAAAAAAAAAAAAAAAATCAAAATTTCAACTAAATCCTCCATCCTGCAGCAAGCCAAACACAGAAACAGCTACAGGAAGTTATTTTAGGGCAGATGAAAACATTATTGGCAGCTTGTTCACCAATAACAGGCATGACATTATATTTTACTTCACTGCAGTTGAAACTGCCATCGCCCAAAAAACGGAACTGAAAACCCTGCAGCATTTATTCAGCACAACTGCTGCAGCATAGGGTAATAACCATTGCCCTAAGCTCTCCTGGTAATTTTACTAACAGGACATGAGGAGTTTAATTTCAGATCCTGTGTACACACTACAGAAAAAGACAAATTCAAGTCAATCTACGCTTTTTACTGGAAGTAGATTGATCCACAAATTGGCAGCAGAGCAGTATTCTTACTGCATTATAATAAATAATCTATTAATATGATTAACCTCATTATTTCCCATTGAAGTCAAAAGGAGTTTTGTCCCAAATTCACTAAGTGCACAATGAAGCCATGTAACAGGAATTTGTGTGACCAGTGGTCCTGGAGTTCGTAGTTCAGAAGAAATACATGAGAACAGGAGAAGGCACAGTCAAGTGAGAGCATTTGCCAGTCAAGTGACCTCTTAGGAGGGTTCTTAGTTTTGTTCATGACATATCTCGAAAATACAATGGGCAGCAATGCAATCCAATTAATGACAAAAATTCACATAAGAAGCCTAAAAGAACTACACAATATGGAAAAGAATAAAAATGATAAAAATCCTTACTGGTAAAGCAAATATCCACTACCAGAACTGACCTACTGGAACAAGCGGAAAATGGGCAAATTTCCCTGCCCTATGTTACAGAATAGGGATAATATGGTTTTGGGTTTTTTAAGATCATACTCTTTAATAGGTATTTTTAAATGCTATTTTTTTAATTGAGCTGTTAAAAATACACGAAGTTATCTCCCTCAGGAGATTATTCATAGCAGATCAAAACAGATCAGATTCCAGCTGATAACATTCCAAGTTAGAAAATATACTTGGCTATGAGGCTGCAGCCCAGCATCTGGTTTTGTGCTAAACAAACCTTCCATTCTGCTGATAAAACTCCTCTTCAAATTCTCGTAATGTCTTACGTAGCTTCTTTTTCTCAGCTCTGGCTTTCCACAGTTGCTCCAATAATTCAGGCCTAAAAATTTCAAGGGAAATAAAAATACGTTGGCCGTACAATAGAATTTAAATTCCTCAGAAACAACTGAGCTAGCTGCACTAATAATTTATTTGTCTGGCTCATAAGGAACATGCTGTCAGTTTGAAAGTGAAATATTGAGAACAAACTAGCAGTTAATAAAGGGGTATAAATTTTATGCCGTCTACACAGCTCAAGCAAGGCTGAAGAAGGTTTAGAAGATACTAAATAATTCACTGAGTACAAAAAGATCTTAGTCAGACATGTCAGAGCAAAGAACACTCATTCAATCCAAACATTTCCTGAGAAGTGCTGAACATGTCACTCCCTTCTACCCAACATCATAGATTTAGTATCATCACTCTAACTACAATAATGACAAGTACTATAATGAAATTATCCACTTAATTGTCCATACATAGAAGCAGCTCGGGTGCTGGAGAGCCTCAGGTCCCGGGTGAGTTTCTCTTGACCATCCTCAATATCAGACTCAGAGTTTTCAACTGGGCTTAGAACGGGCTGTGTTTGGGAAGCAGTTTTTAAGATATCGCTCAGGTCTGCAGAAAAACCATCACTTTCCTCCTCTTCTTCCTGAAAGTGAAAACAGAAATTCAAAATAAATATGATGTATTTCAGTTCCCTATTACAAGTGCTGTGAAGTATTTTTTAAAATACACTGTACCTACCTTAATTTCTTCAAAAAAATGGGCAGTTTCACCTTCAATAATGGGCTGTAACATCTGCCCCCGCCTCTTGGTTGATGGTGATCCCTAAAAAAAATGGAAATTTGCTTCAAAATGTACAGTAAGACATCAAGTGCTGTTTGAAGTAGAATTATGTTGAAGTCACCCAGTATTTTCTCTCTGAGATGAATAAAAGACTGCAAACATACTTACAGAGCACAAATAAAGTAACCATATAACTCAAAAAGCTCAGATACCCGAGGTATCCTTGACACAAATAAATGTTGTAGCTTATAATTTATTTTAAAATAATCCTTTTCAGACTTAAAATAAAAAGCATTTGCTCTCTCCATGTTTTGTAGAAGATTCATAAAGTGCAATGATAGCTCTGAATTTTGTATTTAGTCTTGCTCCTCCCAAACCAAAGCACAGTTACAGAGCTGGTTATCCAGCCAGGCATCCATTGGGAATAATCCTGTCAGGTTCTTTTTCCAGACCCCTCTGAAGCCACGCAGCTGCAAGTGTGAAATCAGAGCTATCTGTTGCCACCTCAGAGCCAAAATCCTTTGAACTCCAGCCTAAAGCAGGTGTCCCTGTGCTGTCCAGGTGCCTGTTGCACACCTGCCATAATGTCCTGCTCATCCCTTATCCCCAGATAGCAGAAGCAATACCAACAAATGGTCTCTGGACAGGAAAAGGTGAAACACAAAAGCCACACAGACAATGACCTGTCAAAAACTTTAGTTCATGAAGGGTAAATAGTCTCCTGCTTCTCTGGACATTTCCATACAGGCTTCAGTGCATGTCATTAGTGTACCAGAATACAGTAAGAGTTATCTCATGGACTCAATTGTAATATAAACTTAAAAATCCATTCTTGAAATATCTGGCACTGAGTATAGACTATTTAGAAGCTACAACTGAACAATCCTTGGCAGTAAGAGAGAGGTCCTCATATTTCTTACAGGTTTCAGAAGCAGAAACCTGTGAAAAAGATTTTACAGGTGTTGCCTACAGCACAGATGAGGAATCATGTTACTGAGATCTCTCCTGAATTTAAAATCCTTCTGATGGGCTATCACCTATCCATTTATTTCACAGCCAAAAAAACAGAATGATTGGTTCAGTCATAAGGCTACCCAGAATGTAAAATCTATCTCAGCTGAAGAGTCAGATTTCTGAGGGGAGAGATGGGACAGAGCTCAATCAGTCAAGGGCACTACCAAAAAGCTGTGACTCACCCATCACAGAGAAATACATTGGTGCCTAAGAGCAACCTGTGCTTATGGAGCTCAGAAAGGGATTCTGATATAAAAGCCTTTAAACTTGACTGTGATGCAAATCATGGTTCTCGTTAAAAAGAGCCACCAAAAAAACGTACGTGCAAGAAAGGCAGAACTTGACCTGGTCCCTTTATCTCAATGTACTCCAGCTTAGAGGGGAGAGCTAAGGACTGTCAGTGACAACCTAATAGCAGATTAAGTTCCTGCTGAGTAAGCCCAGCTACCTGTGTCTGGGAAGAACTGTCTGTATGCAAAGAGATTATCTCACGTCAGTTATGCAGGCCTTTCCTTCCAAAAGGGTCAGCAGCCAACATCCAAACAGGTATTTTGCAAGCCTGGGTCAGTATGCAAGGCTTGGATTACGGCTCGTGCAGAACAAACCAGCCGGCTGTCATTCCTCAGCTGTTTCACAGGTACTATAAACAAGGTTACATCAATTTCTTTGCACAGTATGAAAACCTTTCCTTCCTCATCTCTTAGAAGACCACAGAGAGGATAGAAAATTCAGAGGAAATGAAGTGAAAACACAATGAAAAACCATGGATGTTGTACAGATGCTGCAGGTACTGGTAACATGTCTCTCTCTGGGGAAGCATGAAGGAATGAAATGGTTCTGATGGCAATCCTGTCACTGAAGCCTCTGCTGACAGCAACCTGCACTGCAACTGGTGTTACTATTCTGGGGAGGACTGAAAGTACAGTATGTCCTGTGGATCCATACCTAGCACAGGCACTTGGGAACATCTCAGCCACAGTAAGTTAGCACAGCTCACTTACTTACACAGAGAACTATTTAATTCCCAAGAGCCACCAAGGTCACAGACAACTTGGAACTACTCTGTTCTCAGCAGCAAATCAATCAAATGCCTCAAGTACAATGACAACAATATCTTGTATCTTCCACAAGAAAGATGTGTCACAGAACAGTGTACTAACTCTTCTAAAGGCAGCCTCACAGTTCAAAAGTGGGAAAATAAATAGAAATAGCATTTGTTTTACTCACAAGAATAGGAGTAATGCTTGCTCTAGTTAACATTTGTTTTACAAGTCTGTATCTGTCATAAAGTGGCTTCACAATATGTCTTTCTTCTCTAGTAACCTAGAGGCAGAGAAACCACAAAATTAATTATACTGGTCACTCAATCACAGACAAGCAAACACAAAGCCGTGTGCTTCTCCTGCCATCAACACTCCAAGTAGGAATTCAAAACTACCTTAAATTGTGTGTATGAAAGGGAGTTTATGCAGATAAAAGGGAATAAGTGGGTGCTTTTTCATTCTCTCTCACTTTAACACCCTGTATCTTTCAGGGAAAAGATTTAAACACTTCCTAAAAATTAGGGAGCTTCAGCACAGGCAAACTCTCTGTCTTTAAATATCCATGGAGAAGAGGCAAAAAAGGGATCAAGAATTGGGGGAAAAGATGTGTGCCTGGCTATGACGATGGTTCTACAGAAATGAAAGCGAAGAAAAGGAAAAAATGAAACTGTAGAGAAGAGGGGTGGGAACTGGCTTTTCATTTCCGTTTCTGTGAAATCCAGAATAACATTTCAGGTCTTTTCACAGGAAATTCAATAATCTTGTTTATTATTAAGACATCTCTTTGCCTCACAGACATATAAGGCACCAAATGACACCCATCACTTTGCACACTGCAATAACCTGCTGATTTCTAAAAAGGGGGCCTATTAATACATACTTTTTTCTTTTTTTTAGGAGTCAATGCAGCAAGTTCCTCAGATGGCAACATGGAGGCCAATAGATACCTTTGTGTTTTGGAAAAGGAAAAAGAAGAACCCCCACACCAGCATTAAATTCTGGTCTTACTATTGCTTGAGAGTTACTGCTGTCTATGCACACAAAGAGACAGTTTGAAATAAAGCCAAGCATTACCGGCCGTCCATGTTGGCTTTCATAATACAGGAGGCTCTTCTGCAGAGATGTTTTCTCTTCTACCAAATGGTCCTTTGTCATTTTCTATCAAGAATAATTAGCATTTAATCAAACACAAGTCACTTTTACTTGCTATACAGATGCCTAAGCCAAACTTAGCTTAGTTAATATTATACAACCCACCTTCTTCCATTTAAAGCTGTCAGTACATACTTGTAAATATTTCAATATGGAGTAAGGAAAATGTGGATCGTGTTGATGATTTCCCCACTGAGTCTGAAACATGATGGCCTTGCAAAGGGTTGCTAGCCAGAGGAATCATCGTGTTGATAAAGTGGTATCTCAATTGTCTGACAGTGCTCTATTTCCCTCTCATTCTCTCAGAAAGAACCAATCCATAACCTTATGCTTACCTTTATATCTTCTGGTAAACATCTCTCAACTCGTTTTTCCTTTAATCTTTTCAAAATTAGTTCAAGTGTCGCCTCCTTGGTGGGCTTCTTCTCTTTCTGCACAATCTGCATCTCATCTTCATTTTCTTCATCCTCTTGGTCAAGAGAGGAACCAAAGCTTTTTGGAAGAGTGTTACTTCGTGGACGTGTTTGAGGTATGAATTCTCCCTCTGAGCTCCTCTGCTTTGCATCTGAAATGGGAAAAATGGCTCAATCCAAAGGTTTAAAAGAAATAAAACCCTCAGTTTGTTTAACTGCAAATATAGCAATTGGCATAGGGAAATGTTATTTCCTAAAGAACAAGAATAATTTGATTTTTGAATAGTGCAGAATGCAGAAATGAAACATTTTCGTGTGCTGTGGAGTTTCACTGAATGACCTAGCCATTTCAGTCATGGAGATAATTTGTGTTGGTAGATAACGTGAAACTGTAGCAATCTCTTACCTTTTATTTGCTTTCTCAATTTGGTAAGTTCAGTCATCCATTTTAAAACTTTTGGATTGGCTGCAATATCACTATAGGAGGGCTGAAAAAATACAAATAAACTACATATTAAAACAAACACACTAAATCTTGTTTATAAATACTTCTTTCAAGATTTGGTAATATTTGTGATGGTGAATGTGAACAATTACAGGAATGCCACTCAGTATCAGATCACAACTCAATGCCAACATAAGGACACTTGTGAAAATAGAACTGAAACAACTTCAGCAGCTGAGCCATAGAGTGGTAAGACACTTCTGCTTTTCCACACATCTCATCTGTGGAAAACTGTCACTCCGTCCTCCTTTGGCTCTGGCATTCTGGCACATTTTCTAATATTGCTGTTGCTCAGCTCCCTTTTGCAGACAGCAGTGTGTAACAAAATCCTCATTTGTGAACACAGTTATTCAGTGATGAACTACAAGAGTCACTCAGCTCTCCCATGCAGTCCTTTATCATGAGTAAAAACAGAAGTGCTAACCTACCTTACTGTTTTTCTCTTTTTCAAACTGTTCCTCAAATTGCTTTATTTTTTTCTGTAATTTCTTGACAAGCTGATAAGGTGTCTTGTCTTCCCTTTTGTCATCTTTTGAGCTAAAGGATGCTCTTCGTGTTCTGTTTAAAAACATTTTTAAAATGACATTTAGATAATTAAATGAGTGCAAGGAATATGCATATTTAAGAGATGAATAATTTAATTTTTTTCTCCAGTTCATAATCCACTAATTTCAAGTTTTCAGAGCTATTTACTTAAACTGCTTTGAGCTGCTGCCTTCAAGATGTGACGTTATTTTTGTCTCCCTAACATCAGTAATACCCACAAGAAAAAAAACATATTTGAAATTCAAGTGTAAAGTACCTTTAATTGCCAACTTTCTGGTGCCTGGGTTATTTAACTAAGTTACTATTTACTCAGTTGTTCTTAAAGTACTGAGCACAGAATAAAGCCCAAGCTAGAAAATACCACTGAACAATCCTTGGTATTTCAACAGCTTCACTCAACTGTCTCAGGCAAGTTAAGAGATACTTAAGCCAAAAAGTATCCACAGAATTTGTTAGTCTTCCTAAAAATTTCTTAAATTTTATTTAAAGCCTTCTAAATTATGTGGTTTTGGTTTTATATACTCTTTCACGTAGCTCCTTGACATTTGCTGCTCTTGCAAAGCATTTTTGTTTCAAGATCAACATGAGAATTTTCCAGAACACTTATTGTACAAGGTGTCTGAAATATCCCTCAACACAGCCAGTGACATCTATGTAGTTCAAGATATTAGCAATACTAATCTAATAATCTACTAGAGCAGATCCTTATTAGTTTCAGAATGAAGAGAACAGCTATAACCCTCAGTACTTTCCTGCATGTCAGTCTTCTACATCATTTTAACAGTACTTGTTAAATATCTTCTGTGGCTAATTGGAGAAAACTTGCACAAGGATCTTTTTGCATCAAGAAATCTGCCAACAACTAGAAACTCGAAACTTGTTCCAATCTCCTCTTTCAGGTTTTCTCATTTTTATGAGATTATCTTTCCCCTAACAAGAATGAAAATTCTTCTCAACTTCCCCTTCTCAGTAACAGTAGTAGACAGTACAGGTCACGGGTTATTTACAGATCTGGAGACTCACACTGCCCTGTTACAAATAACATACAAATAACCTGCAGCTTGTTTAGCGACAACATAATAAACGACGTCAAAAAAATACAAGAAAAAAAAGCCAGACCTTGAATAAAATCACAGACCAGAGTCTAGCAAAGCCTGGTAAACAAAGGATATAAATACTTTCAGCCCAGGAAGCGCCATTTGTCCGAAGCCCTGACCAAATGCCAGGGAAAGCTCTGCAATCTTGTCCTATTTTTGTCCTCTTGCCCTCCGCATCTATCAGTGGCCACTTGGAGAGACACGATCCCACCCCAGCTGAACCTCTGCTCTGACTCACTCCAGCAGTTCCTGGGCAGGCAGAGCAGCCAAATGGCCACACAATGTTACATTTGACCTTGCTCTTCAGTTCACTCAGATCATGGCAACCTGCAGCAATCTCCAATAGCTGTATTTTCATCCTGGCAGTAACACTTCCTGCCCACTAGACTGTATTAAAATACACACCTAACAAAAGAAAGTGCTTTGGATGAAGAGTCTAACGTCTCTGGATCATGTAAGAAACGCTGGCTTTGCCCAAAATCCAAACTCCGATGTGACAATATGGGGTGACAGTCCTCTTCCAATGGATGATTAGTCATCCTCCCAGCCTGTGGGGAAAGCTGAGCTTCTCCAGATTCACTGTCCTCCTGCCAAGACTTGAAAGCAGGAAATGGATCTAGAAGATAAAAAAAAGACACAAAATGGCACTTTTCTGTTAAGAGAACTATAAACAAGAGTCAAAACAAAAATGTGAACCCAATGCTTAGTCTTGTATGCTCTAGAGGATGTGGTGTCATACACAAAGTGAATAAAAACTGTGAAATACATCAGAAAGCTACAAATTCTGTCATATAACAGAAAGACAAAAGTACTGAAATGAAGTATGCACACTAGGATCCCTTTTTCAAAGTGTATCTTGGGAGTACACATTTCTGAGCAGTTCAACAGTATAAAAGAGCCTTATTTATGTATCAGAAATATAAATAAGAAGAACATGCTTATTGTCCATTGCGGTATTTTGCTGTGGAAACTAATTTTCATACTGTACACATGCACTTTGGAAGGCTGTCCTCTTGGTTTTGAAGAAGGTAAGTCTGACAGTACCTCTTTAGGTACAATGCCCATTTGCTTCAGTCTTTTATGAAGGAGTGTTTTTAGACTTTATAATAAAATTTATCTTGACACCACTGAGAAAAAGAGATTTCTTAATTTGTGGAAGGTGATTTTTTAGGAGGGAGATTCCAAAACAATCAGTTCTTTCAAATCCCTATGAAAAACTCCTTGCTAACATCCCTTATAATTCTCTGACATGGTTTTCTCGCTGTCTAAAAGAAAGCTGATATAGCCTTTCAATTACTTTAAAATCCCACCCCCTTTTTCCTTTTAGAGTTGCCTGGTTTTTTTCTAGTTCAAATCAGAAATTTGAAAACTGGGTTCAAAGTGTGCAGAACAACAATAAAACCCACAAAGTAATCTTTAAAAAAATAAAAATAACCCTTGTACCTGCTTTCCATCGCACATTTACTATGTATGATTGGAAATTTTTTTTGTGTTTCTTCAGTGTGATCTTGTCTGTTTGCACAGTACAAGATACAAGAAGGGGACGTTTTTGAATTAACAAAAAAAACTGCAGATCAGAATATTCCCAAGATATAAGGGACAGCAGGTGAAGGGTTAGTTAGAAAGCAAACCATCAACTATCAAAAGGCAGATAACTGAACGTATGGCGAACCATACTTACCCTCCCCTTCTCTCTGCAGATGCATTGTTTTGAAATCAATGAGGGGGAAAGTGATAGGGCATGGCGCTAATAAAATGAAAAAGAATGGCAAAAATACTAAAGTGAACACACAGCACAGTCAGAACAAACTATACATAACATGTAAAGCAGGAAGATACAGTACCAGGGAAAAACATCCCATATTTTTGGACCAGGCCCTGAGCACTCTCAGCTTCCAAGCAATTCCCATGGCAGGTAAGGATGCTCAGTCCTCAGCCAATCTGTACTTTTTACTGGAAAGGTTTACAAAGAACTGGCAGAGGAATAGTGAAGACTTACTGCAGTTTAATAAGAGACTCATGCATCCTCACATGAACAAAAGGCAAGCTCTAATATTTTCGTTCAGAGCTTGTAAATAATAGAGATGCTGGTGATTTCCAAAAAGCAGGGCAAATGCAGAAAAACACTCAGAAATATAAATCAACCATTCTGCATTTTCACCTTAGGCCAGCATGCATTTGATGTTGATTTTCAAGAACTCTCTTGCATACAGGCCTTCGAGTTTTCTATTAGATTGGCTTTAATAACCCAAATCTTGTAACTGAATTTGGACTAGTACAGATTTCTTAACAAAGTCACTCACTTCAGTGAAATGCCACAAGGACTTGTGTGCCTCAGAAGGCTGAGTTCCTAATAACCATCCTAAACAGGACTGAAGAATAGTCAATGTTCAAATACCTCACAGTGAACTAAGACCTCTTGCAAAGAACATGATTTAATACCAAGAAAATATAATATAAATTTATAAACAGATATGCTGCTTTATTTTCAAAACAAGGGTCATAAAGCTATTTGGGGAAGTAAAACCAAAAGCAATTTCATGAGCAGATTTAAGGAAATAATGGAAGTGGATGCCACAAACCTTCTGAGAACACATATTAAGTCATCTTAACACAAATAGAGGATGCAACAAAACATAATGTGCAAGTAAGCAATTAAACTAAATAAAACACTGAAAACAAACAGCATTTTTATGGTTTTTTTAGCTTTAGACTGTTCTTAACTTGGGCAAGAAGATTCAAAATCTGGACTCAGTGTCTTTGGGTGCCTGCAATTTGACTTCCGTGTGCCATGACATACTCTGAATGTCAATTTGCTAGGGCTCAAGAGCACCAACCAGCAAATACTGTACAAAACGAATGAAGCCAACCACAACTTGCAAAGCTCATTATTTACCAAAGGGTTAAAAGGGAAGTGTGGACTCATGAAGGCATTTATTTGCAAGACAGTCAACAGCAGTGACAAACTAACAATGAATTCTCACCACTTGAGTTTCAGGACAAAGCTCTGTGTCCTGATGTGTGACAGCTCTAAGCTGCACTGTTGCAGAACACACATTCCAGCTTTACTTCCCTCATTTTAATATTTCTAACACTGCAACCACAAGTTAAGTAGAGTGATTCCTTCTCACCAGTGTCTTGCTAAGGTTTCACTGTGACACTTAAAGGCATCTCAAGGAACAGCTGTCACTGGAAAAGCCTGCTCCAAGTTAAAACTCTGTCCCTGCACAGTTTACCTGCACTACATCTATCAAGTTGTACTGCAAATTTTCCAAATCAGAAACAAGTGGCCTGTGGCCATTGCACTGGCAGTGACAGCTCGCAGTGGTTTAGCAGCTTAGATCACTTGCATTTTTTAAGGTGTGATGGCTCCAAATATCAACACCAGGCAGAGGAAACATGATATAAGGAAGACAAAAAGAGAAGTATTTTGAAAAGAAGGTATTGACAAGAGTGTTTTGCTCTGGTTACAAAGGGCTTATGGTTGTTTTAAGTAAAACGGTTATTACCAGACATTTGAGCAATAAAGTTCAGTCAAGTCACAAGCTCAGGGGATTGCTAAGCCTGGAAGGCAGTGAAGAATAAGGTCACAAACATAGGGATTCTTGTCTGAGAGAAAACTGTTACAAGTTATTTTCCTAGAATGCAAACCGTGGAAGGAGGAGGGGCACAGAAAAATATCCATCTGCAACTTTAGCCTTTATTTGAAAATTTAGAGCTGCTTCAAGATGTCCAATGACATGGAAACCAAAACAACTCACAGATTTTTCAGAAAAACTGAAATATGAACTGCTGTGTTTAGCAGGTTAGTGATTTTAAGTCAAATTCAGCTAATTCAATAGTCTACAATTAATAAAACAAAGACAAATAAGACACAATGAGAATTTTAACTAAATGATATAATTAGACAAAGTTTTTTTAAAGACTTGGATGAGAGACTCAGGGTCATGGAACTTTAAAAAAAATTAAAAAACCAAACCAAAACAAAACATGCCTCCTAGAATGAAACCTGGACTTTTTTCTTCAGTTTTTCCTTTTATTTTTTAAGGTCCTTAATTAAGTTGCAGATGGTTCTGAAACAAGATGAGACCTACGTCATGACTTGGTTGATCTTACCACATCTACAGGAACATGTTGTTGTCTGCTGCTTCAACTTTATAAATTGTTTTATTTATCACTCCTCCCTAACAATACTATGAGCTAAAGAGTGAAAATTACCTTCCCATTTGTCACCATCAGATACGTTCTTCAGATCCAGATGTGGAACTTGGACACCCGGAGCCTCCTCGGGAACATCGGCACTGCCATCTCCCAACACCTCTGAATCAGTGTTTGCATTAAGATCACAAGTCTTGCTACTTGAATCCTGTATTTAAAGAACAGAAAAATTTTATTATTACTTAGCACCTGGAAATCAGACACTTAATCAGTTCCAGCACTTCTAGAAATTTTAAGGGAAAAAAAATCTTTCCAGACTTGAGGAATTACAATTAGAGACACACACATGAAGAGCAGTCAATTATTTACATTACAAAACATTCCTTACATGAGATGCATAAGCATAAACTTTCTCTGCTGTCCTAAGTTTCTGTGAAGTGACATGATAAGCTCTCTAACAGAGGTCTTGCAAGCCTTGCAGCACCAACCACCATAAGATGTTAAAAGCTAAATTTATTGTGTTACTTCACGTTTGTATTTCTTATAAGTTGCGGTGTATCTGTATATAAATGAAATCTTTCTTACCAGAAATGCCTCTGAAGATATTCTATCATTGCCATCAAGCAATATACTATTTTCCCTAAAAAGAAGACACAGACCTCATTATCATTTTAAATGGACATTATCATCTAAATGATAAATAGTAAACGCTATACACTCCCATTATATTTTTTTTTACAAACCTCATGCAGTTTCAGCAGCTAGGCAATGCATTTACTTAAGGCAATAATTAAAACTCTGGGGGGATAAAAGTAATATTATTTTTTTTCCATTCTCTGATCTTCACATTGAATTTCAAGTTGTAGCATGTAAACAACTAGACTTGAACAAAGCTGGAAATAAAAACAGCTCAGACCTTTATTCTCAAATTAAGAGTAAATATTTTAAAACTCAACTGAACTAAAACTGAAATTTCAATCAGTGCTGAACTAAAGCTGCAAATTAACAAAGCTTTCTGGCTAATCACTGTTGCTGACATTAATTCTTCCATCATTAAGAGCAATAAAAATGTGCCAAAACATTTCAAAGTAAATAAAATTTTATTCTTCTGTTTCTTTTGCCCAAAACATAGGGTTGTTCATATAAAAAGCTGTAGGTTAATCAACTAGGTTTGTATGACTACAGAAAAACACAAACCTTTCACTATCATTTTCTCCATCAACATCTTCATCTTCATCGCATAATTTCACTAATACGTCTGCAGTCTGTTGGGGAAAAGTATGTTTAGAAAGATTTGGAAATGGCTCTTTCAACAGAGAACATTTCCATAATCATGTCTGATCACAAAACACCCTCAAGAACTAAAAGCTTCTTGTGTGTGGGGATGAAAATCTCACTTTTTAACCATGTGACAATTTTACATTCTCAAGTAAGGCCAGTGACCAGGTGTTTTAATCACTGGAAATCAGACAATGACTTTCCATCTTCACATAAACAATTTTTTATTATTTCTTCAATAAAAGTTGTACCTAAAATTATCACTCATGACAAGAAGTTTGGGGTGATTAAAATCATGGCAGTTTGTACATCCCAGTCTCAAAAACAGTTGTTCCCAGCATATATGAAATGAAACAAGTCTAACAAACTTTTTAAAGGAGCTACTAATCCCTGGTACTAAATAAATCAGCAACAGAATTGGAAGGGGATGAAGAAGTGCTGTCAGTTCTATGACACCATCTCACAAAACAAGTTCAGATGAATTCATGTCACCACTTTGTTCACTACAAGTATTTATGCCAAAGCCTGCTACTTGATTTCTTCAGAAAAGTGTCTTATTTGGGGGAACACAAGAAATTTGAACTACAAAATATGTCATTTGGTTTTAGACTTCAAGAGTTCTTGCAAAATGATCTTTACAGTGTCTGAATATAACATCAAGTTACCAGGAGAGTTCAAACATACCAACAGTTGCTAGTTTTATGCTGCTGACAGCAACTGACACCCATATCAGAAAAAAGACCATTCTTCTGCTGACATTATTTCAGTCCTCAAGTCAAATTCCAATTTGGGGAAACAATTTTTCATTACAGCTCATTTATCATACTCCAACAGATAATTTCCACCCTGGAGATGAGCAGTATAAGTCTTGCATAGTTACACTTGCGGGAGTTGTGGAAACAACTGCTTCTGTTTCCATTTCGGGGCCAAAAGAGAACTCACACGCAGAGCTTTCTTTTCCTACAACCCTACACTCTCCTCTCAAAATCCTATCACACAGGAAAATCACCACATTTCCCTTTAACCTCTCCCCAAAAGGTACAACTCTCCAGTAACACTTGAAACAAAGTTTCAAAAAGATGGTAAAAACTAACATTGAAGAAAACAAAACTTCATGCCAAAATGTCACTTTACCACTGACAGCAATGGTCAGAAGTCTTATCAAAAAAGCCAAAAAAGGCCAAGAGTGACAGCAGGTATGACAACAAAAGTATTTCTATTGTGCACTCCCAAGCATCATGTTCCCCTTTATATCCAACACCATGTTTTATGTATTTTGTGCTATAGGGTAACAAACTAATTGTTTTTTGGCACTAAAGCATGAGGAAAGAACCATGACAATGAATACATTATTTCATGAAATTTAATTTACAGAATGGGATTCCAAAACAATATGCTAGTTTGTGGGAAGAACTGGAAAATTTGGCTTGCCAGATGATTCAAGAGAGTCATTTGGGATGCCCAAAAGCAAAGAGAAGCCCAACAACAGAATACATCACAACAGTGAAAAGCACTACGGAAACATTTCGTTTTAATAAAAATACAAATTCATGACTCAGTTTCACTATGCTAAGGCATCCATTCCCAGTTCAAAGACCCATTAAATTCTTCTAGTTAAGTCTACTAACAATAGGTTTGCTTATCTGGTTATCTTTCAGGAAACCCTCAGGAAGATTTATAGACTCACAGGCAAGAAGCTGAAAACCATTTCAGAAACTTCTCTACACATGTGTAACAAACATCTCTGCCCACAGAATTCACCACTTAGATTTGTAACAACAAAAGCGTTAGCAAATAAATAGGGAACTATAGATTTGATTTTTTCATTAGAAGGGCTTATCTGACAGCTGCATATGTGCTGCTTGATACTGAATGGAAGAATACTCTCTTCTCTTGCACTTTACTGTTATCCTTGATTTCATTTTTGTCAGCACATATTTTACAGAATTCCTTGATTGCATCAACTAAGGAAGAGATAGAGATGTGCTGAAAAGAACAGGACATTGCCTACCACAGAAGAAACTGGAAATAGAGAGGAAAGGCTGTAACTAGCTAACAACAAACCACACCTTCTTAGCACAAGCACAGCCAAGAGGCTGCAAAGTCTCAAGGTGACTGCTACCCTTCCCTGATCCATGCAAGTTGACCGTGGGCTGTGCTGCAATCTCAGCTCTACAGCTTCTGCTCCTCAGGAAGCCTTTACTAACACAGATGCTGCTCTAACCAGTGCTATGCTGCCTCATACACTGACTTACCTCAGCAGAAGGAAGGGCTGGTATCTGAAAGACGAATGGAAAAATACCAGTCAGGATCCAAACAAGTCACACCAAAATACACAAAATTTCTCAGTGCAAGAAAACAACTGACTGCACAGAGCAAGAGCTCATGTAATGATACGTCAGAGTTCTTCAGAAAACTTGGATCTCTAGAGCACTAGAGTTGCAGCAACTTATGATTTGATATACAGGAGACTCTTCCTCTCACCTGAATGCTTTCTTCTTCCTCAGTTACAGTATCATGTTTTATAGCTTCACTGTCTAAATCAGTGCAAACCAATACTTCAGAGCAGTCTCCTGTGTTTTCACTGCTACCAGTGTCATTATCTTCAATAACATCATTCCTAAAGATACAAACAGAAAGACTTTAGAAACTTGTTGTTACATTTTAAGAGGGAAAAAAAATAACCCACAAACAAACTAAACAAACAAACAAACAAACCACAAAAAAACAAACACCCCCCCCACACACACACACACTTTTATTTGCCCCTTTAAACATTATCAAACATCACAATCTTTTTTGTTTGGGTTTTTTTTTAACAGAATTATTCTGGCCTGTAGGGAGAATTATTTATTTATGTGATGTTTTGTACATCCATACATGAGAGACATATTAAAATGTATTTATTTGGTTCTTGTCTGAAGGGCCAGGCATACACCCCACGCTTACCATACCAACCTAAGGAATTAAAACACAACAGCCAGAAGCAATGACATCCTGAAACTACAGTGACTCGATGGCATTGCTGAGGCTACACGCCTCTCAGCATTGAAGCCAGTTAGTTTATAGCTACTATCACTGTGTTCTACTCCAGTGAGAAATCCCATTATTTCTAATATTTGATCTGCTGAGACTTCAACTTAAGGCACGTAACATTACAGCCAGATTAAAACTAATTGACGCCATATTTGTATTCACATATATTCTTTGTGTGTCACCACCCCTGTTACCATATGACTGTCATTCATCAGAAGCCTTTGACTTGTTTGCCTTCCTTCTCCTCACCCAAAAAGAATTCCAAACCACATTAAGAAAGCTCCTTTGCTATCAGATACAGAGATAATAAACCGGACAGGTTGAAAATTAATATTTTAACTCTTTTTTATTAAATCTGGCCATTAAGTTAGTACTAAGAAATTGGCACTGGACCACTGCTTTTTTCAGTTCTTAATTTAACTGTGTATTTGCCTTGTGCACAGTCAGCTGCTTTAAAGAACCCAGACAACCCCTTGAAGAAGGATATCATGTATCCTCTCTTACAGTTAATCCATAGTGGAATGATGATCAGAAGCATTTGGAATAGTGCCTGTGCCAGAGGAGGATACTGGTTTCAGACCGGCAGTGATGGCACTTGGAGCCTCCCCCTCTGAGATCAGCCAACCTTTACAGCACTTACACTGGGACTGAAGGAATTCAGCTGCTACAGAGCTGTAAGGCAATTACCCACTCACATATTGCTTCAAAGACACTGAATCTTTAGCACTAAAACTCAGATTTAATTGATCATTACCAGCAACGATTATTACTTTTATGATCCACGGCAAACTTTATTCCTGCCTTCTGAAATCACTAAAGATTGAACAATTTAGAAAAGAGCATTTGAGTCGCTGAACACTTCATGTATTTCAGACTCTGTTCACATATTCCAGCTCTGAGCAACAAAGAAATTTAGGTACTGAAATCTTAACAACGTATTTTTGAAGTCTGAGTATTAATCACAACTATTTAATGAAGCACCAAAAGGTACCAGAAGCTTCCAAATGCTACATGGCAAATCACTACACTCAGAATCTGGCCTGATTTACACGAAAAATAAAATCTGATTAAATAAGGTTGGAACTCTATGCAAACAGACCCACAGTGCTCATTCTATGCATTTTTGGCTGTTTCATTGACACTGGCAGCCAGAGCAGTAGTTATGTTGACATGGAAAGACAGGGTTATGAATCTACAACAGCTTTAATATGTTAAAATTTTGTGATAAGTCACATCGGTGAGATAAGAATGAAAGCACTTGAGTAAATTTAAGTTCCTGTGCTACTTGCATGGAATACAGCAGTACAGCAGATAGACTTCATGGAATTTTTACCAACAAGATCAATTTAAAATATTTGCTTCAAGAGCTATTGATTACTGGCACCTGATAAAAGTTGATTTGTTTTGAGATAGATAAAACTGAAGTCAACAGCAAAAGTCATAACTTTTGGGTTGAGGTGGAGGATTTGGGTAGTTTTTTTTGGAAGAGTTACGACACACAATTCTACAGAATTCATTACAGACACAACAAAATCTTACTGGTTGTTAGATCCTTCCTCATCCCCACTGGGATTTTTTGTTTCATTGTTACAGCCCAGTCGTTGTTGCTGTATATGTTTCAGATCGTTATCTAAGCTGCTCTGCAGGTCGAAAAGATGCTGTTCTACAGCTGCTCTGATTGTTCTTTCTAAAATGCTAAAAAAGAAAAAAATACACAAAAGTCCTATTAAGAACTCTACTTTTGCAGTGATCAACTACACAGAAAGGCAGAGATAAACTTTACACTATAGGAATCTTTGATGGCAGTACTTCAAGGCAAAAGAGACTAACTTTTCCAAAAAGGCAGTGGAAATTACTACACGTACTATTTTTGAATCCATAAGATTTACATAAAGTATTATGAAGTTTATCAACTGTATTTTAAGAGTAATCAACACATTACAATAACCTATTTTTTAACAATTATACACAAAAACTTATAAAAGCCTTATATATTCATGTGACAGTAAAATCCTGTCTGTAACAGGTGAGAATCAAGCCTGGAACAGATTCCACTTCACCACATGTGCCTGCACCCTCTCCTGAACAGGGCTGTCCATCTCAAAAAGCAAAAGCCAATAAATAGCAGAGACAATCAGCAAGTATCTGACGAAGGACACAGAATATACCCAAAATTTCATTAAGAAAAAAACAGTATTCTTTAAAAACAGAATACTTTGCTGAGTGCCTCTCAGCCAGCTCAACCCAAAACACAACCCAACACTCTAAAAATCCGCCTGTAAAAATCTCAAACTATTTAATCCCACTTAAACTCTGGAATTATGCTTTTTTCCTCCACAGAATTCCACTGAGCTGTACTCAGTATCAATGGTGCTAAAGTTACAATGTGAATGCTATCATAAAAAACTTATGATGTATCTAAGTGTAAAACCAAAGCTTTGGACTATGGATGCAAGCACACTGTGCTCTCGTGCTCCTGCAGTCAACAACACTGACACACATTTGGTATTTCCTGCATTGGTGTTAAATGCCATCAGTGAAATTCTTCACACTAGAATATGTTCATTCTCAATTGTAATCATGAAACTTACTGCTTTTTTTTTCTTTTTGAAAGGATACGTAACTTCTATGCATGTTCTAGTAAGAGCACAATTCAAACGTTTTATATTTTCATTATACTTACTCTGCAGAGGCTGGCAAGATACTTATGGGAGAGATATGAGCACTGCAATAAAGAAAAAAAAGTTAATATAATGCAAAACTTATCAGACTAAATAGAAGTCTTGAAGACAACAGAAAGTAACTTAAAAAAATACTTAAATATTACATATGATAAAGCTAATAAAAGCAGAATAAACATGTGAAGAACACCCTGATTTACAGTTCTTCTATTATTTAAATGACAAAAAACTTAAGGAGCACCATCACAAGGCAGAAAGCTGTAGAAGCAGCAATGCAGATTTCTGTCTCTCAAGAGCCAATATTTGTTGTGAAACAAAGCTCCAAGCTCTCAGATGTATGGTCTTTCCCATGGGAAATACTAATCATTTTGTAGTCAAACATTTCCCGACACCTTCCTTAAGAATGCAGATTTTAACCTTGCTGCCTAAAGCAAATTCCAAATTACTCTGCTTTCCTCCACAGGATCTTCCCACTGTTGCATAATTTTGTTCTGCAACGCTCAACAGATCCACTGCACTCTCTGAGCACAGCTACAACCTTTCAAGTAGAAGGCAGATTTTGGGACAGGAGTCTGACTTGTAAAGCATCTGGAAATCTCCAGGCAAAGCCACTTCAGCCTAGAACATTAAACTCCTCAAGTGAGGGGTGGGAGGGTGGAAATCAATATAACTTCTAACACAAGTCAGTTCATTCACGTGTGTGTGGTCCCTCTACAATTTTTCATTAATAAGATTAAAATTTTATTATAAAAAGAATACTTAATACTTTAGACAAAGTGACAGCAAAGAATAAAAGATGAGAAATCTACTATAAACAGCTGTGAGTTGCAGCACACACATACACACTTCAGTCAAAAAAGTAAATATTAATTTCAGCTTAACTTGGAGAGAGGGAGGTAAAAAAAAGGCTTTTTCATTCTGTTACAGATAACTAAGCTCAAAAAACTGAAAAACATTTTTCTCCTCTTTACCATGCAACAACCCTGTTGCCAAAGTTGATTTAAAGTATTATTTTCATGAATGCATAAGGTAGACCCTGAAATGCAAGGGAGCTTGCCACTCCCCTGAAGAATTGAGCAAATCATTACCTCTGAGAGGTATCCTATCAGTTTCAACTGCTATGAGCCTTGCTTGCACTAAAAAATGCAGACAGTCTCTCTGTTTACCCAAGAATGGCTTCAACACAGCAAAGAATACCTTGGTTAGAACTTTGGAGGTTTATTAGTAGTTACCCCACCTGAGAGAGAAATCACCTCAAGTAGACTTTCTATTTTGCCTTCCTCCAAGTAGATGAAACACAACCAATAAAGGGCTTTCAATAAAATATAAGCTGATAAAAAAAGTGGTTAAAGTATTTATTTAAAAATAATTATACCAGTTTGATTAAGACACTTTGTACTGGACCAAGAGCAGAGTGCATACCATTTAAACCCCATATGGCACAAGTGAACAAGCAGGTGCTCATAGATGCTTTTAATCTCTTTTCTTCCCTTTTTTAATGGAAACTAACTAACAAATCAAGTTCATCTTATGATTTGTGTGTTTGCCTGGTGAAAAGCCAAAGCTGATCTATTTCAAATGCATTGACAAACAGGCAGCACTCAACCACTATTTCAAAACAGACTTAACTTTGGGAAATTAAAACATCTGACATAGAAGCCATTTCTTGCAGCCACTGATTTCAAAGCTGCAGATCAAGTAACTGAGAGGGGACATGCTGACATTTTATATATTTCTTACAAACAAAAAAATGGCAGGAGGTAGTTTACAGCTTAGGATATTTACATTTCATTTGTATTTCCATGCACTGAAGTTCAACATAGCCCTACAACCTGTATGAAGTTGATTTTCTGATAAACCTACTTCATATTAACAATGCTTGAAATAAAAAATGAAAATATGAAGCTACAAGTTCAGCTTCATGAACAAAGTAAGAGAAAAGAAGCATGATCTTAGGAAAAAAAAAACAGTAATATTTCAAAATATGAAAAATGTAGTTTTAAGTATCATCCCAGTAAGTTCTACAAAAGTTGCATGAGAAAAGGTATGCCTGTATTCTAAAGGTACAAATATATCATCGTGTAGATTGAAATTGATTTACAATTAAAATAGTCACTCCTTGGACAAATTGGGATAAAAAATGAGGCAATTAGAGCACAGAACACTGCAACACCCTAATTGCAAAAGAGAGCAAGAAAAACTCAGTCAAGGGCACAAGTACAAACACTATTTATAGGAAACTGTGATGACTTGAAATCCTTTTATTCTACCACTTGAGACAATGAGGAAGTGTGTCAAGAATAAGGAGAATCAAACTCATCTCCAAGGAATCCAGATGATTTCAGACATGGTACAGAACAAAATTTTCCATCCCAGTGTGTTAACCTTCAGGCCCTAGCACAGGATGGTTCTCCAGTACTTTTATGCAACACCTTTGGGAGCATTAGAGATACTCAGCAAAACCTGTGCATAAATCAGCAGAATTACAATCCTAAAGAATCCTCTTAGTACATGAAGAATATCTTAACATCTTCAACAAATCACTTTAGCAATTAAGCACTTTCTGAAACAAATATGACAATCTTGGGTGAAAAGCCATTACAACTTCTGAGCCCACCTACCACAGTTGAAGGATACTTTTTAAAAGCTGTCATTTATAATGCCAGACAGAGCCTTAACGCAGCATGACACAGCAAGACACAGGAAGGTAAACATTTTTGTTTCATAATGCTAACTCCCTCCTGAGAATCCCTTCAGCACTACCTCCCTATCCAGAAAAGGTCCCGGTAAAAATGTATCTTGAGTAGAAAAATACATTAACTGGAGATAAAACATGTCCAAGTTTTCCTTGGTAACTTCCTGACCGTACAAAGATTGTTATTTCTCATTAAAATAATCAGCTTTGGTATCATTTCATTTTTTTATCTCCAAATCACATTTAATCTCACATAACTTTAAAGTTAAAGCCTTACTTGCGATCATATCAAAATGACATTTTCTTTTCATATATTTACCTGTGCAGTAGAACTTTGCAGGCCATTCTGATTATTTTTGCTATCCCAAAAGAACACTTCATGTAAAAATGCTTCATCTGGAAGCCAGCAAAGCGAGCTGTGGGCTGCTGGCTGTGCATGCTGCTGGCTGTGCTCCGGGGGCTGCCTGTGAGCGGCACCTCTGGAGTGCTGCACTAAACCCTGCAGTCTAAATAGAAATCGACTGCAACATGAGGTCACTCCTGACAATAAGCTGCCCAATCAACACTTGAAAGCTCTCCTAACGTGTTGTTTACAGATTTTCCAGGATGAAAGGAGGAAAAAGTATTTGGTTGCTAAAAACAGCACTACATAAAATTAATAATGTATTTTCTAGCAATTTAGGCAGCTCTTCTATTCAGTCAGCTATATCATGCATTTTTGTCTCCCTTGGCAGGTGTTAATATTATCACTTCTCTCTCATCACAGCTAATTAAATCACAAAAGGGTTAACAAAAATAGCACAGAAGCAGTGAGGATGTTGCCCTTGTCACTGCATTTGGTAGAAACAAAGCAAACTGTTTGTACGACTTAGTGCCTGTCATATCTCATATTTTTACACATATAATTTTGAAAACTCCAAAACTAAAGAGTTATATATAAAGGCTTCTGACTGACAACATTTGAGATGAACTGCCCAATTAAAGCAAATACTGCTTGGCAAAGCTCAGGGATGAAAAATTTGAAATAATGACAGAGAAGGATTCAAAAGTATTTATTTCAACAGCGTATCTTAAAATTCAGCTGCAATGCTGAGTCAGCAATTCTTTACTCCAAAAGTCAGGACAGCAGAAGGGAAGGAGCCATGGGGAAAAGGCTTCTGGTAAAGGAGAACAAGTTTCCTTTACGTGCTCAACACCAACTTGTGAGCAACAAATGCTCCCTGCTGGGTAATGGGCTCAAAGATCACTCCACAGGTTTATAAGAAATACTGTTTTCAAGCAGTCACTAAACCAAAGTGCATTAATGATTATCCACATTCTCACAAGGTCTCTAACTCGAAGTCAAACTAACACCATGTAGAGCAAGAAAGTCATAGGTTTCAGCAAGAACAAACAGAATGAGTAGAGAAAAAAAGGCAGTAAGCAAAATTAGAAGAGAGTTATAGTCCAAATAACAAGGAGGAAGGTCAGATGCCCCATTGTACGAATCAAGATAAACAATTTCTTTTAGTACTCTTCATAGAGAGACCAAAATACACAGGTATTTGGTTACCAAAATCTGACAACAGTAAAAAGGCAACAAAATCCCATCTTAAAAGAACTGCAAGGATTATGTTTAAGATCTACTTCTTCTCCTTTTTCCTGTATAAGCTGCCACAGGCTCTACATCAGGACAAACATAAATAATCCAAATAAACCTTCATTAACAATTTTTTTTTTTTTACATCAAGAAACTAAGACCAAAAAAAGGCCACTAAATGCCTACATAAAAGCCATTAGGTTTGGGAAAATATTTACAATATTTATCGTGATTAAAAGTTGAATAAAGAGCACTTTGTCATTCACTTTATTCCCTTTTAAATGTTTCCTGCAGTTGTTCTGGTTTTACAGTTAAAATTATCCTTCTTCTAAAGGATTCCTCCTTATCCTTCCCCACAAATTATGTAAAATGCCAACCATAATTAATGCCTATTCATTTTTAATTAACCTTAAACATCAAGTAAAAATGTTTTTCTCTTCAGGCTATCCAATTTAAACTCTCAAACATGTTGTGTTTGTCACTACTGCTGTGTTTACACATTCCAGAAGCAACCTAATACTTGTGAATAGTTAAACCACAACTTTTTAAAAAACTGAATTCAAACTAAAAATAAGAAGCTTTCTTACTGATAGAGATAATTAACTATTAAAATATAATTTGAATTACAAAACAGAATCATGCTTCTGTCATTATTTGATATTTTACAGCTTCTTGCCATGAAGCAGAATGAAGTATGCAGCCAGCAGCTGAACAGATTCCAACCAAAAATCCATATTCTTGAAACTACCCATTCTTAGGCAGCAAGTTGTGATTTTCCCTGCATTTCTTCTGCTTTTAGTCACATTTTCATTGTAGATTCCTCCTCACTCCTCCCTACAAGTTCTTACATGCAGTGCCCATACACGCTGCAGAATGGAAGAGGTAAAACCATCTGTAGAAAACAGACTCTAAGTACAAGTAAAGTAGACTTAAAAATAAAACCTTGCATACTACAAACAAGTAAAATATAAAACTGTGTATTACAAGCAAGCACCAATAAGCTCTCAAATCAAAGTACGATTTTGTTTACACACTTTCATGAGAATTGCTCTTAAAAGCTGGGTCACCCTCCAACATTCCTGCCTATACCACATTCTGCAACTTCCAAACCTGCCCACAGCTCTCCAGCACCACGTGACAAGAAACAGTCCCAGGATTTCCCACTGGACGGATGGTACAGAACAGGTTTGGATCGACCAGTAAGCAGATTCTTCTTATTTCTGCTGCAAAATTTACTGCTTAAATGCCACATTACAGTTTCACTAAAATATGCCCTTTTTACCTTTCCCCATATAAAAATCCCTATACTTAATCTGATCTGATTCTACAGGCATTCCTCTGCTGAATTTGGGAAGTTATTTTAACCCATATTTTACTATTATAAGAACTGCATCTACATTTAAAGCTTCACTTTGTAGACACCAACACTCATCTCAAAAGTCTGGCAGTTTCTCTCTCTGACAGAAAAAATTACAATCCAAACTTTAAATCCAAACTCCAAGGCAGAACCAAGTTACCTTGTTGATGCTGTAACATTCCTGGAATCTGAGAGACCCCCTGTCATATCTAGATGCACCACAGCTGGCCTTTCAACAGGTTTCTCTGTGCTGTCTTCTGGAAGTTCTTCTGACTGCTCAAGCTTTACATCTTCCTCTTCTTCCAAGAGATCGTTGATCTAAAAAATATTTAATCAAAGTTAATGGATTGAAAAGCTCCTTTCAAGAGGTCCAGAGAATTAAAAGAGCATGAAAGGTATGAAAGTAAAGTGAAGAAGGAGAACACTTCAATTTTAGGAAAAGCAGGCACACTAGGCTTGCTTTTATGGAAAATTGTAAATTCTACACCATTAAAAAGCTGAACACTGGACAAAAACTGAAAAGCAAGAAGCACCTCTGATGCTATAAATGACCACAAACAGAATGAAGAAACAATAAAATCCCAATCATACTGGAATCATGAACTACAGAACCTTTCTTCTTCTATGTCTAAAACAGATAATTCTCCTCTATTCCACAGGAAGCCTTATTCATGTATCAGAAGCATTTTCAAACCTTCCTAGAGAAGGCTATACAAAACTCTATGAACCCAAACCTCAAAGACTGGGAATGAACACTTACAAAGTTTCTGTACTCTTGTCTATTTTTGTTTCTTTTTTTCCAAACACGTTTTTACTGAAGCAGCAAAATAAAGGCAATTTAAAAAGCAAAACAATACAGCTAAGTGGCAACTCAACACAGCAAACTTAATTTTTTAAAAAGCAACTATATCTAAAACATGAAAAGATACAAGAAAAAAGTGATTATGATTGACTCCCAAGATGCCCCTGTGATTGATTACTGATATCTCGATCTTGCAAACCCAAAAATTAAAGCAGCAACCTCAAGAAAGTATGCTTTATAGTATCTGTCACCAGTGTAAAACAAAAACACTAAATTAAAACTTCTGACGTTTCAATTTTTCTTAAGATTACACAGAAGACAGAGAGGAGATATTTGTTAGTTTTTAAAAGGGGCGTAACGTCTTATATGGCACTACATTCCACGCAAGATATGTATTTATTCCTGATTTTCCTCTGTAATTGCAAGAGGATGTGCCAGGGAAGCAAAGGCAAGCCCACCCACACACTGGGGCAGCTGCCAGCAGGGCTGTGCCCGGCAGGGACAGCAGCCCTTCTGTCCCCACTGCACCAGCCCGACAGAAGTGCACTGTTGACATCTGGTGGAGACACCACGAAATTAAAGGGACACCCCACCAGCCTTCCAACAAAGGGAAAAAACAAACAAAACGACACACCAAACAGATTTTGCGCTTAGGAAACCCTTTTGCTAAAACATATAATGAGGCACAGGCCAAGCCAGTAATTTCAAAGCATGAGAGCACAGAGCAGCTCTAGTTTTCAAAGCAGTTATCCCAAGTGAGTGACAGCCCCCAGCCCCCAGCTGCAGGAGTCACAGCCCAGCTTTGTTCAGCAGCTCCCTGCATGCAGCAGGGCTGTGGCAGCTCTCAGTGCCAGATGTACTCCTGCATGGAGCTTTGCAGAGCAGCAGCATTTGCTCAAGGAGTTCACACAGCAGACTCCAAATGCTGCCCACGCCTGGCACACCAGACCAACCTCTACTGCAGGGAAGAAGCAGCAGCCAACTGCCCCAGTACTTGCCTTACCTGTCTTGCTAGAGGAGGGGCTTGTGAGATAGGCTTTAAAATTCAGTACTCATGTTACCTACCTTAGCAACTGCCTATTTTTTATCCTTTTTCCTCTTTACAGAAAATACATCATTTTCAAGTCTTAGAAACACCATTTAAAAACTTTGGCACAGGAAAGCACCACTGATAACATCATCAAGTAGAGTGCAAGACCCTGCATGTTTCTGTAAGACACACCTAGAAATACTCTTGACCAAGACCAACAACAGACTCGCTCTTCATTTGATCAAAAAAACAAATCTTCATTCCTAAATTGGTAATTAGAAAGCTGTTTACAACAGTGTCTGTGTTGGGCAGAATATCACTGTTAGTTTAGTTCCTATCTATTTTTCAATATAGTACAGCTACACTTGCAACAAAAGCAAGAATTTCACAGGCATTAAGGAAATGAGCAAAATGCCAGATTTTGTCAGTTTGCAAGAAATTGCTAAGTCATACTAAAGAAACTGTAGTTCAATAAATCTTTCATAAACATAAATGTGTATAACAGACACTTTAATGGTAGCATATAGCCATTCAAAATATTCTTACCTGCTCAGTTATTGAGCTTAAATCATTAGTAGATGAAAAATCTTCCTCTTCATTTTCAAAAAACTCATAGTAGTTCTCCAGAAGTCCCGCCATTATTCTGCTAACTATTTCTTGCTCTTTCAGATCCTCCACATCTGTGTAAATGCTAAAGATTTCAACACTGTTTTAGTTTAAAATCTAAATGCAACATTTTCCCAAAGAACAACTCTGAATGTCTTCTATGACTAAGTGCTACACTTCACGCCATTATCCCCTACCCATTATGAACCCACAAAACTTTAAGCATGCCTTCACACTGCCTTATAAAGCTTTATACTATTTTCTATTTTAAAATTATGAATTAGCAACTATTTAGTCAATTAACTTTTCATGAGTGATATTTAAAAGTCAAATATTTTCCTGTGGAGAGGAAACAATAGTATAAGCTGGTAGTTTACCAGCCTTCCCCTGGAACTGTTTTCTTGCTACAAACAGTAGCCTTACATACTATCACTAAAATATCTGAACCTCAGAATAAACACAGTAATGCAAGAATCAAAACAGTGGTTTCTGATGTCACAGCTCAGAGACAAGCGGCTGTTTAAATCTTAGCAAAAACTGTAAAACCAAACTGGGGTGAGAGAGTGGGTGGGAATAGAAAAAGATTCTGCCTGAAACATATTGTGCACTTTGTTACTGCTGCTCACCTACCACGAATGACTTTAAACTGAACAGAGACACTCAAATTCCCATAGAAACAGTTAATGAACTTTTATAATTAACTTACTGAAAAACATCCGGGCCAAAGACTGCAGCTAAAGAACTTGCTGACCAAATTTCTTCATGATGCGATGCTACGTTAGCTAAAAATTTACACAGAAACTTCAACAAACTGTAATTAACAGGTGGAAGCTGCTGCAAGAGGAACCTCAACTTTCTTCCAAATTCATCTTCATTATTATAATCTGGAAAAGTAATAAAAATACTTTAGTCACAAAGAAGCTATCTTTTCATATTTGATAGCATTTTGCCTGACAACTACTTACTTCTGAAAATAGAACTGATTTGGTCAAACTGCAACCTAAAAATTGAAAACTGACTTGCATTTGTTCAATATAATCCACCACATTCTCTTCTGCACCTTTTCCCCTATTAATGTCCACTCAAATTCCTGATTTCAGAGGAAAACTCTAAGTTTTTGTTCTACCGCTGTTGCATAACAATTGCTTCACAGAAGTGCTCTACAGACAACAGCTCTAGATAGTGAGTTAACTTCCATCTAGTTAAATTCTTCTGGCAGACAAGCTACTTTGACACTTTTCCTTTATAAGCATCTCATTCTCACCACTCTTCCAGCTTTTATAATACTTAACTCATAAATCCAAGCTATTTCAATGTAATCATCTTCACACGTGCTTAGCTTGAAACTTGCTGATTCAATTTCAGATCTGAGAAAGGGTCACCACAAAATCTCATTCTCACCCCATTTAACTATACTCTTCATCAAAATATGTCCCCATAAATCTTATTTGTTACTTCATCAGCCTTACAGGCAGCAAGGTTCAAAGAGTTTACAGGTGTTTGTACCTAACTGAGAAATTCCATACACAGGAAAAGAAATACAGGGGAAAAAAAAAGTCAGGAAAGCAAAATGAGAGAAAAATTGATAGAAAGAGGCCTCCCCTTCTTTCTCAGACACTTGAAAACTCTTCTAAGATCAGTTAGAGAGGGAAAAGCACGTTTGAAGTGCTAAGCCATCTCTGCCTCTCTAGATGAGAGAACAGAGACAGCCTAGCCCTTAATATCAAAGCAAAGCATGAGTAAATTCCCTGTTGAGCATGTACAGGAACACCAAGCAGGAACTGCAGGATTTCATTTGCTCAGACACAGTCAACATCTGCAGCAGCTGAGTACAGGCAACCAAGCACAGAAAATGGTTGTCTCAGCACATAATACATTAAAATGAACATTTCATTGACAGACCTTACTCTAGAAATGCACTTGGGAAACAGAACAGGAGAAAAAATACTTCAAAAAGTACTTTAACAATGTAGACTTTTAAAAAGAAAGGAAGTACAGCAAGGTGACAATACACATCTCCATGTTTTGTCTACGTAATCCCTCCTGAAGTTTAAGTTCTAAACAAACAGAGACCCAAAGGCAGAACGTTCTTACCTCTAACTGAAGTCCTCTGGCACTAAAGCAGGGATACACACTTGTGGGACACAGGGCCACAGGCAGTGGGATCGCCACATTCACACCTCAATTACCCAAATCACCTGTCCCTGAGGAACCACCTGCCTGCAATGAGCTCCTAACGATGCATAGGGACCACATCTCACTGTATAATGAAGTTATTCTGAAGACTAAGCCTGGCCTAATGATATGGAAGTACCGCTGAAGAGGGAGAAGACCATAACTATGGTCTATGGAACTAACATATGGGTCAACAATTACTACCCCCTTCTGCACGTCTCTGAGGCAGCAATTCCTCTGCCTCAAATGCAGCTGACGATGTAATTCTGAAAACTGATATATGTCTGCCAGACAGGCAAAACCCAATTAGAGGAAATCAAAAGTCTTATTTTAGGAACTGAAAACACTGTTTAAGGGTTTATATGGTTTGATTTCCTTGTTACAGATAACTAAATTTTTCTTTGTAACTTTTACGCTTCAAAAAAGGCAGTAAAGACAATAAGCTGCAAGTTTAAGTGAAGTTTCTCTACATATTTAACAAAATGGAACTAAATGGGGACTTGCACGCTAAAAACAATCCATACATAAACCCATCCACGGTGCTCTCTTCAAAGAGGGGAGGAAAAAGCTAATTTTCACACTAGATTTTACAGTCATAGAAGGGAATTCTGCTGTCACACCAAGTGAATATACTTCAATCCCATTTCCAGTCCTGACAGATAACATTGCAACCAAAGTGCACCGCAGTATTATCACTATTATTACACAGAGCATCAAAGACACCTTAGTGCCACTACAAATCTCAATTCAATACTGGGTTTTACTTTTAAAATCATAAAATAAAAAGACTGAATCAAAAACAGTTATTACCTTGAGAAAGTTGCATCAAATGTATGTGCAAACTGCCTGGAATAACTGGCTCTGGAAGTTCCTGAAGAAAAAATCTAAGAAGGCTAATAGCTGAGGGTACATCTGCTTCTTTAACCAGGTCCACATCTTCTCCATTATCGTATCGTTGCCGGAGCCACTCCACTGTCTCAGCATTCCCATTGACTTGGAAAAGTCCTTCTTGCTCCAGACCCCCTGAGTTAGAAAAAAAATTGCAGAAATAAATTTTTAGCTCCAGTATGGACAAATATATAGGAAAAAATACCAATAATCAGATATGCACAATTCTCATACTGATTGAAACATTTTCTGGACAACAGTTTTGCACAACTTTCAGCAGTTCTCTTCCCAACATATTCTTGTGCCCAGTAACAATTAAATAACAAGGGAAATATTAGCAGTACCTAAACCACAGTACTTCCTACAAGGTGCCCTGCAGAGCTGACTACATTACAGTTGGCTAGAAAACAGTGATACACATAATAGAAGGAGCAAAGAAAGGAAGAACCCAAACCAACCAAATCCCATCCAGTTGAATAATTAATTTCATAAAATAAGTACTCTTCAAACCCCACAATCTATTCTGTAAGAGTAACAGTGAAATATATTATTTTAAATAAACAATTTGATACATACCATGTTCCTCAATATAGTCCACGACATGGCGGACTATGAATGGAACCTCATTGTCTGGTTGCCCTTCTTGCTGCAGCTCATCAAGTGGAATTCCAAATATTTTGTTAGCAAGAACAGAGTTGCAGTTACTCAAGGAAGGGGAGGAGCTCTTCCTCATATCTTTTTGCAGCCAAAAATCAAAGCTGTCTTTTCTGTTAATAGGAGAAATTAAAAGCAAAAAGCCCACTTCAATGTAAGTTTTTGAAAGCACTGACCTGTAACACAGAGCGTTTTAATCACCTAATGCAAATACTCTAGTCTGTCTCCATCCATTCACTGCTTTAATGAACAATTCTGTAATAACTCCAAACACAGCTAACTCAATAAACGACTATCACTGCAGTGTTCTGTCCAACCCTCAACAGAGGACTGAGAAGAACATATATAGCAGCAAGGAAAATGCAGAAAATTCTAGTTACCACATTTCTAATTAAGTTCTAAGGTATTTTGTAGATTCCTCAGTACTTTTTCTGACAGTATTTAATAGTCAGGCTTTCAGAACTCAATACAAAAGCATCTCAACAGGAAATGAAACCAATGGATCACACCAAACCAAAACTCTAAGTTTCAGTTATATGAAATCATTATGTACTTTGTGATACATAACTGCACTGTAATAATTTTAAAATATAGTTGGCATTTTCTGGTCTACAGAATAAAGCTTTCAACACCTGCATCAAATTAAAATTTTTACTGAACAGAAAGCCCCCAAAGCTAGTTTCTAGATGCTCAGTGATACCATTCTATCAGGCAGAAGCTCAAGCTTCACTTGCATGTCTTTGCTTGATAAAGGATCTAGATAGATAACAAAGGGCAGTATAAGTCAGTCAAGCTGTTACCCTGTCAAAACCAAAATATTTCTTCTAGGAAAGAAAAAACTGTCCTTTCAGAATAAATAATAAAAAGAAAAGAAAACATACTTGCTTAAATGCAAGCAGTCACTTTCACAGAAGCTAGCACACAGAACACGAAGTATACGCTGTTAGTCAAAGCATTCCAACAAAACTAAAATTCTCTGTTTATTAAGAGGTAGATTTTAATAATTAGACATTCTGAAATCCACGCTTGCTTTTCTTTTTTTTTTCCCCCAGCGAGTTAAGAAACCCACCTCAGAGTACTTAAACAGCCGAGTTTGAAAAACGCTTTTTGCGCCAGCTGCCCTCACTGACCAAGCATTCTTTTGTCATTTATGGCTGTTTAAGATTATGGCAAAAGATCAGCCTGTAGTTCCTCATTGAAGAATAGCAGAACTCGATCAGTACTTCAGCAGTTAATCTGAAAATAAGGAAAATATTATTAGATCATAGTTTTCAACAGTTTTAAACTCAGTTAGGAATCCAAACATTACATTAGAGGAATTCTTGTCAAATCATCAGTTTCTTGTTCTGAACAAGAAAGCATGAAGACCACATTAGCACAGCTTATAAGAGAGCCCCCAAAACAGCAAATCCCTCTTTTCAATTATGAGTTAACCAAATCCGAAGTGAAAGTTAGCATGGGACACCTAAGTCTTAACAATTCTGAAATAATTTGCAGACTCATTCAATCCTCTTCCGAAGAATCAAGGAGGGCTAAGTAGGTTACAAAGAGTGTTTTAAAGTACCTACCATACTAAAATATTTAATGGCTATGAAATTTTTAGAAAGATCTCAGGCACTGGTCTAATACATCATCTTTAAACAGCAAGACCAAAACCAAAATCCTAACTAAGGAACATTTAGAGTCAACCAATTTTTGGTAGTACTGATCCTTTTTTCTAGGAAGTTGACTACATGTCCTTTGCTGACTGTGAACTGCCAGTTCAAAGTCCAAGTGATCATCAGGTCTGGATACAGGAAGCAACTTCTCCCAAGTCAGATTCCATAGAAACCACCCACATTTTTGCCACTTTTTATTTAGAACCCAAATTATCTGGACATTTTTCATGTTCTCAGCTCTCAAAATAGCTACAAACCACAGTAAATTGCCTTTATGATTTTCTGTGGTATTAGAAATTTAAATTGCAGCTTCATGGCACAGTGAAGCCAATGTAATGCCCAGAATCAGTCAAAGGGTCACTTCAGTCCCTTGATCTCCCTCATTACCTGCTCTAAACAAACTCAAGCAACCGTGACTGGGCAAAACAAGCTTCTGACACACACATAACCACAACGCTCATCACCGAAACTAAACAATGAAGAGGTTTTCCCCAGCTTCAAAGTACATTCACTGAAACCTTTTGTTTCATAACTGGAGATTGATATGACAGACTGGAGACAAGTACCTTCCCTCCCTTTGTTCTCCCACACTAGCTCCTGCTTCTGTTCCACATCAGGACAAATAAACTTTATCTTCACTTGCAAATTCCTGACAATCAAGCCCTCTGGTTTTAGTACCGAAATGCCAGACCATTCATTAGCCTATCAAAACAGGAGCCCAGAGTACTCTTGGTAGTTTGAATAAAGCACTTTTCCTGCTCCCAACCCTCTCCAAACTGCATCTATGTGCTAAGGGACTTGGTCATAAGTTCTGTATAAGACTACTTCCACCTCCTCAGTATTTTCTTAAATCGAAGCCTAGGGGAAAAAGTATTTCAGGCATAAAAGTGTTTAAATTGTCTCTGCCTATTGCCTTGTATTACATACAGGTTGTAAATCTGTTACACCTCACACAAGTGAATCTTGGTCTGAGATCGGGACTCCAGGTGAGCTGACAACAGAAAATGAAGGGTTATATTCTAGTAAATGGGTTTTACTTTTTTTTTTTATCCCATCATATTCAAATATGTTACTGCAAATTCTTGGTTACTAAAAGATCCTACCAGATTCCAACAGTAAGGCAGTTGCAATTCATGATTCCCCTATAACTTATGGAGGCCTTCTACAGCCATTTTTCTTATTATTTTGGTATTTTAAGTGAAAGTCAACATAATCTTTGCATGTAAGTAGATTTCAATCAATCCGAATATATTGAGCAAATTTTAAAATATGAAGGTGCACACAGTCTATTTTCTCAAGCTCTACCAAAGTCAGCTTGTCCACAATGAACCAGAAAACCTCCCAGTGGCCAGCTGTGGGGTTAAGGGTAGCTGGGAGAAAACCTTTGATGGATCTGCCACAATGCTTCAGGCTGACTAGCTAAAACCAAGAAACAAACCTTCAAAACAAACACCACCTAATAAAAAGACCAAATTAGAAGTAACCACTTCTTTATAATTCAGCACCACATGAACAATCTTGCAGTGGGCTAGGCTTTCTCAGCAGAGGCAACCTTGTGCTCAGTTCACTGACATGAAAGCTCAGCCACTTTTGCCAGGTGCAGCAGATGAACAGGCTGCCTGAATATTAATTTCATTCACGAGGCATGAAAAAAAGAAAAAAATATAGACTTCTACTTTAACTGGCTTGGCAATGTAACAATGAAGTTGAAACAGCCTAGTTGTCTCATAGTTAGAGCAAAACCGGATTTACAACCCAGGTTTATACTTTGAAGAAAGCTTTATATGGCTTATTATCACCTGGAAAAATTAGTGAAAGCCTCATTTTCACCCTCTCAGACACACACACCTTTACACACATTTCAATATATCATTATAGGCAACAATCTATTTTCAGAGCATTTCAGTCTTTTCCCTTTTAGTTCAGCCTTTGGTATCTTCACAGGCCGTGATACAATTAATCTGACATTTACCTAATCTAGAAAGAGCTAGAAACTCTGAAAGTTATTCAACTTCCAGCAAGTTTTATTTCCAGCTATTTCCAACATTGTAAAAAACTGTTAATAATTAAACATTTTTATCTGCACTTTTTATATGGATCAGAAGCTTTCCCACTTGCCCTCCGTTGACTTAGGAAGTACAGCACTGCAGACCCATACGAAAACTGGGACAGGACACGTAACCCTCAGGATTGGTTCCCAAGTCTTTTACAAATACTAAGCAATGCTGTGGAGTTTTTTAATACTTTTTTTGCCCCAATCAAGCATCTTAGGAAACAGGAGCTAACCCATTCAGTCAACTCAACTCTTTCTATTTTTGCTCATATTATCCTGATCCTTTTGAGCACATGCTTCCCCCTTACAATTTCACAACTTAAATGCTTCACAAGTTCTATCAAGAAAAAAAAAGCAACTAAAAAAAAAAAGCACACAAAAGAAAACTACCTGGCTTGAGTTTAATTATAAACATTCTGGTTGCATTTTTTTCAATCTACTTCCCCTCCTTGTTACTACATTTTAAAACAACCTTAAGCTACAATCATGCTCTCCAAAACATAAACGCAGGAAAGTAAAAATAAACCTTATTAGAAATACATATTATACCACAATTTGACAAGAGACTGAAAAAAACTTACTATGTCCCTTGAAACATGTTGAGTCCAAGCATCTTAAACAAGGGTAAAAGAGAGTTTTGCTCTGGACTGTGGATTTCAATGCTCTCCCGCATTATTTAAAAGAATTTGGTTTGCTTTTTTTATTAAGCCAAGTTCTTCATAGAGTATGCTCGGAAAACAGCATCATGAGCTGCATTTTGCCATCATAATAGCATTCACTTACTTTGGCAACTTAAGAAGTATTTACACCCACACATGAAATGCCACTAAAAACCCCACAGAATACATGGCTAACTGCTAATATTTGAGGAATACACATGAAAATTTAGACTTATGTTTAGTTCAGCTTTTACATTAATGACTGAAGTACAAATAATATACGAGCATCATTTTAAATTAAAGTCCTCAGGTTCCACCACCTTTCCTTAAAACAAAGGAATAAAGCAACAAGTAAAAATAAACAAAGAAAGGCTGTAAACTGAAACCCTGCCATAGGAATGAAAACATTAATTCTGCTTGTAGAATGTCTGCCACAAGTCTCAACTATTTAAGCAGTTCTTTTACTTGCTTATTTTATGTAGCAGGAAATTGGTATTGTCTCTCAAGCCAAACCCAAAGCTAACACTGACTGCTTTTTTTTTAATACATATTTTTAATATACTATTTCGTGGCATTAACAAACATCACCAGTGAATATTTTTTAACACATAAAAGTAAAAACTAAGATTTTTAGATGGGGTAAAAAACCCAACAAAATGGCCTGTCTCTGCTTCTCAGGAAACACACCAAGTTTTTTGGCTTTTTCAGCCTGCAGTGCTGTGACCCTGTGAACCATCACATGCCTGCAAACAGGGTTCTAACAGATCACATACACATCCTCCAGTACAAAGAGGATCAATGCTCCTTCTCTGCAGTAATTATTTACAAATAGAATTCCACAAAACACATTAGAGTCTCAAAGTTTTTGGTTTCTTACTCTATACTTGATCAAGAAAAACACTGTATTATGTTACTTATATGACTCACATCTAGACAAAACCTGTGATATCCCCCTGGATGCCCACAGCAAACATACTGTTAAATCCAAATAAATAACTAATTTTTTGGCTAAGTTTGAAATTATCTAAGTATATACATATTTTCTAAGAAGAATTTCTAAAAGATGGTCAGAACTCAAGACACAGATTCCAAGCTGGAATCACAGGAACTCTCCTCATGACATCACCCAGAGGCAGCTGCCAGGCGTGAGCAGGAGCAAGAAGGCTTCCCTGGGAAACTTTTGTGTCCCAGCTCAGCACAGAACACACAGAGCTATTTGGCAACTGCTGAACTACATTGATTTATGTTCCCAAAAAATGGCAACCAGCACTCTTGATCTTACTCTTAAGTTTTGTTGAGTTAAAAGGAAACTGATTTTTTGTAATGTTATGTCAGAACTGTAACAGTTAACACTGACTGATTTTTATGCTATTTGTACTCAAATTACTGTGAGCATTCCCAATGGATAAACTGCTTTTGGGCAAAAGAGCTTTTGCTCATCTGATTTTCAGCTTTTGTTCAGCTAACAAGTAAAACCAGACTATTTTGCTTGTTTGAAATAATCCAGTCAAAATTGAAAAGACAGCTAGGCTGGGGAAGGGACATGGCTTGGAGTAAATTTATACAAAAGACAAACTGAAATAAACCCCACAAACAGAACTCTACCACAAACCCAGGACACAGAAAAGGACAAATTTGTCTCAAGAGTACAGTAAAAGGCATGCAGAGATGTGGCAGTGCTTGAACAGACACAGAACATCCTCCATGGAAAAAGAATAATCACATTTAAGTACTCATTAATACATTTGAGTAGTCAAAACAGTAATTATTTAAAATAAAAGTTTTAAACCAGCAAGATTAGCTTAAAATAGACTCTTAAAGAAGATTTCTTCTTTTTGACTCAGTGAAATCAGCTATCAAGAGATATTTTAATCACAAGTCTAGACTGGTAAATCAGACAACTGGGCTCAGTTATTATTTTAAATTTAATAAGCTGGTCTTCTTAAGGACACAGTCTCATCCCCATTAAGGCATAGTGTTTGAAATTGGGTATAACTACAAAATTTAACTTGCAGTGTTGAAGGAATCCATGTTAGAATAAATATATTCTCAAGCAGATGTGACTTGCCTGCTCCCTTCGTTTCTCATTATGGTTCCTAACTCTTCACTGCCCTGTTTGCTTTCTGCTTAAGTAGGAATCAGAAGGAAAGCGGCTTGCTGCAGATTGTACACAATCACAAAAGGAGTCAGCAGAAGCATCAATACCAGCTCTTTAATTAATGAACTGTTTGCCTATGTATGCCTTCACATGTGCACTCACACACATATTAAATCTCAACTCTGTTAAGCAGAAATTCCTTTTTTTTTCAGCACTTCTTGAGATAGCCTCAAAAAAAAAAAAAAAACTCAACTGACAAAATACTGGTTATACTGACAAAGCAAGTAGAAGCACAAAAAACACAACGTAAGATTTAGTGGAATGCAATTTTTGTTTCCTAGGAAGGTGGCAACAAGCCTTCTAATTTACGAATTAGAACAATTTAAATTAAGCCTTTATGTCCTTTCCATGCAAGAAAGAAACAAAACATCTCATGAAAGCTCCTCTGGAAGAGATATAACTAAAATTAATACAATTTTGGATGTTGTGGGTTTTTTTAATTTACAAGCCAAGAAACCATAATACTGATTAGTATTTCTTTTCCAGTCATTACAGTTTAAATCTACAATTTCAGTTGACAGAACCCGATCACACCGTCTCTGAAAAAGCCCATCATTCACGGACCTTCACTAGAGACATACCCTACCTATTAGAAAAACCTCAAATACAGTGACTGATTCAAGCAACATTCAAAAAAATTCTACACTTTCAAAGAACAAGCTGAGAGATGACCAAAACGTTAGCTGGTTTTGATATGCAAAAATAATGTTTTATATTCACTTACTAGATAAAATCCAAAGGCTTTTTAACAGCATTACAGTAACTTCTAATCCTGCAACTACATTGTAGCAAGAAAATAAAACCATCAGCGATACCAGAAAAAGTAGATGCTTGCTCAGTGCCTCACACCCACCACCACACACTGCCAGATTTGCTCTCATCTGCTGTTGCCAATGCACATGTGCAGAATTCTAAAGAAACTTCCTGCTCACACAGATCCCATCACACTCTTAACAACAGTAGTTAATAAATAAAAAGGCTTTTGTATCTTGTGTAACAGCTAATTATATTCATCCTACTCTCCAACCCCCAATGCAAAGCTCTACTCCACCAACCACACACATCTCATTGCCCCTGCATCAGATAATGCAGAACTTCGGTGCAATTGCATTATAAAAGTACAGTCAAGCAACAGGAAGAAATTATCAGCAAAACTGTGCAACTTGCAAGCTTCATGCTATAAAACCAAAGCAGTTTAACAATTGTCACTGCTGTTAAAACAGACTTTGGAACAGAAGTGAAGCTATCTCAGAGACACCAAAAAAACCAAACTATAAATATATAATGCACTTAATTCATTATACATAAGTTATCCTATTACATACATTTATCATCAGTTTGTTCCTTCCCTCCCAAGCAGGTAAGCAGAAATACAGACTGGAACTCAGCAGATTACAAAACGGTCACACAGCCCCTTCCCTGTCGAAACACTGCCTCTGTCAGAACCTTGAGCACATGCCACCAAAATAAAGGACAGGCTCAGCAACCCCACTGCAGGACAAAAACATTTCAATAAAGAGGTCAATGCTGCAGCACTGATTCTCTGAATTTCAAGAGACGGGGAAAGAAAAAGAAAACACCAAAAAAAAAAAAAAGTGTGGTACTGAGGTCCTGTCAAAACTTGATTATGACTAAATTTGAAGATGCCACCAGAAATCATAAGGTTAAGAGTTGTATTACAGACTAAAATTAACTAACCTGATTACATTTCTAGAGTGCCAAGACAACAAAAGATTTCATTAAATGTAAAGTTCAGCAGAAAGGGGAGCAACCCTTTCAAATATACACACTTTAAAAAAGGGTATAAAGGAAGAAAGAACCACATTCATAAGATTCCAGCTCTCACCTTTTCAGTTTTGTCCATGTATTATTATCCTACACAGCTGAGCACAAATTTTAATCCTAACACACTGCAGGGAGCACTGAATAGAAGAGATGTGAGGAGAGCTGCCAGGAGACTGGAACCTGGACAATCAGTGCAGGGTTCCCACCAGATACAGGGCTCAGATCCAGCAGATGCCCCACCCAAAAGTCCTTAGAAATGTCCAAACAGTGAAGAAAATAAAAACCATTTAAACCTCTTTATAAGAAAAAGCCTCTGCAACCATAGTCTTTGTTACAAGCTGTTTGAACACAAATATAAAGCCTTATCTTTATTTTAAGCTCGTTTGGCATATTTTTCTTTGTTTTTAAAGACAAATATACAGGATTTCACACATTTACAGGGGAAAGACCACAAGAGTAGAACTGTTTTTTATTATCACAATAGAACTATTTTCACTAATCAGAATATGGGCCTGCAAAATACTACCCATTTCTTGCAGTGAACGACTCCACCCATATGTTGCATACATAACAGGTTTGTGACCTTCTAAACTATGTTTTTAAGATTTCAAAACAAATCAGCTCTACAGAAAAAAAAGCCTGGTGGAAGATACAGTAACAAATACATTATGTTTCAGGGTGCAATAATCCACAGACTTCACTTGAACTGACTGAACTTCCACAAATCTCAAGAGCTGGCTATCAAGGTAGTAGAAACTGTGAAGATAAAATCTGAATT